GGTTTAAAAAAAAAAAAAAAACAAGGCCAGGAGCCAAGTGTGGAACAGACCATCAACCCATCAACTGCTCAGATACAAGTTCAGAAGGAAGAATGAAGATAAAGAAAGTTACAACAAGTCTATGAGGGACTTTGAGTATATCCCTTAAGTATATGAAAAGATAATCTTAAGGAGAGATTTGATGCAATGGATGATAATCAACAAAGACAGAAGAGTTGTGGGATGACATCAAGAATATCAAAAAGGAAGAAGGTGAAAGATCATTAAAAAGACTAGAAGGGAAGAAAAGAACAAAATGGATGTCAGAAAAGCCTGTGAAACTTGCTCTTGAACATAGAAAAGATAAAGTGATTAGCAATATTAAAGGAATAGAGATGGACAAAAATTTAAGAGGGCAGCTAGAGAATACAAAGTAAAACATTATAAAAAAATATGCAAAGACCTGCAGTTAGAAAACTAAAAGGGAAGAACACATTCAGCATTTCTAAAGCTGAAAGAACTAAAGAAAAAAAAAAATTCAAACCTCAACTTAAAATACAGAAGCATTCTGTGGGGATAGTTGGGGTGCTGCAGAGGGGACAATACACAAGAAAGGGAAGGGAAATGGAAGTAGGCAGATGGGACAATAGTTAAGCAGGTTTGCAAGGGCTAAGTGGAACAGAGGTAAATAATTATGTATGCACAACCTTCGAACAAGAGGGCTCTGGGATACAGGGATTAAGGCATGGCTGGAATGGGTAAAAGGAGGGAAATAATGTTAAGATACTTGACTGTCTTTTGAATCTTGGTTTCCTTTGCATACCATTGTAAAATAGACACTTGAGGGGAAAAGAAAGGAATAGCCAGAAATATCATCATAGAAAGCTTGTAATTCTGTTTTCTGCCTATAAATGATTGGAATACCTAAAATGGGGCTACAACTTGCCCAGTGAAGGAAGCTTTCTGCGGAGTCTCTGCAATGCATAAGATCATAGGTGGAATCCTGAACCCCATACAGAATCTTCTGAGGTGGGAAATCTCCACTTCAAAGGACAAGCAGATCAGCCTGGAGTGGCTAGAACAGAAGATACTTCTTGAAAGAAAGACTGACAAGAAAAAAAAAAAACCATACAGCAGTCCGAGTGACTAATACAAGAGCAAGCAAGTTGCTCAACTAGGAGACATCAAGGCAAGTAGTCGGGTCCCCTCAGGGCAAACCCCCTTCCAAGACTAAGACTCAAGGGGAATACAAGAGCAGATATGCGGTCTGACTGGTGACCATGTTGGTCACTGACAAGGTGAAGTGAGGGGAAAAACAGGAAAGAAGCTGTGAGTTAAGTCCTACCATATTCAACAGACTCCTGTGAACCCGGGTGGAGACCTTGTTGGACAGCAGT